CCCCAAAACCCCAAAACCCCAAAACCCCATTGGGACATCGCACATTGAAGCACCACAAATTGAATTATTTGTAAATGTAGACTCTCCGCTGGCCATCTTCGTGCTTGAGCTTGTCGACTACAGGTTATGGCAAACTTACTGAGTCTGTTGAACTGCAGAGTTGTAAAAGCATTTGACTTGACATCTCCGATAAACTTGCCAGTGTCCCAGAGCCCATCTCTGAGTTCTCTGTTGAAGTTGTATGATTTACCATATCCTTGTCGTTTGTCCTCGACAAAGTCTCCTTGGTAGTACTCTCCTTCGATACTCATGAACTCGGCTCCGGTTCCTTCTTTGAGGTCGTTTCTGAATGTTCCTCGGTAGATGTCATTGGAGTGAGTCTGAAGCTTGCCAAAGCCATGTTTGAGTCCTTGATGAAGCTGGCCTTCATAGACATCTCCGTTGCTATGGGTTACAACAAAGTTACTTGTAGACCAGTGTTCCGAAGTCAGTCATTTTGTTGTCAACAACTTTACCATGGAACACATTTCCAGTTTTGTAAGTGATTGTTGCTTTGTGGTGAATCTCGCCGTTTGCAAACATCCCTTCGATGATGTCTCCATCTGCTAATTTGAGTCTCCCTTTGCCATGATATTTGTCATTGAGAAAGTAGCCAGTGTATTTGTGTTCTAAAATGAATGAAATTAATGAAACTTACTATTTGCTTCATACATGGTCCCTTTGTGTTTCCTGTCAGCCTTCCAGACTCCATCGAATCAGGACCCATCTGAGAACTTCATTTTGCCTTTAGCTTCTCGCTTGTCATGTTTCCAGAATCCTGCGTACAACCCCGCACGAGCTTCTTGACCTACATGGATGAGAGCAATGTTACAGCCAAGCTGAGTGTATTTCATTTTGCCGTAACCGTGTTTCAGAAAGTTCTTAAGTTCTCCGTGATACTCGTCGCCATTGCGATACTGGACTTCACATTCTCCATATATTTTACCATCGGAGAAAAAGCCTCATTCAGAGTTCGGATTCTTCGGGTTTTGTCTGTTCACAGTCATGTAGCGGTTGCCTGCTCGGTCAATGTGTATTCCATGTCCTTCCATTCTGTCATTGATGAAGTGTCCAATGTACTCCCAGCCAGAAATGTCTTTGAGGTAAGACTGGCCAACACGACTGAAGTTGTAGCCATCGCTAAATGAGTTCAGAGATAAGTGTTACTCGAAGTTGTCAACAGGCCGGAGTCTGATTGATTTTTCCCCTGACTCAGAATCATCAGAACTGTTCTCTGGTTTGATGTGATGTTGATTGTTCATCCGGATGTCCCCTCTATAATATCAGCACACATTACTTGTAAAACTGGCCTTCAACATACAAAATCTGTGCTTCGTAGTTTTGTAAGTACCCATCACAAAACTTTCCATAAATCAGCTGGCTCTTGTAGTTGAGCAAGAACCCCTGCACCAGTCCATCTCTCTGGTCTTCTGTGGGTTTGAAGAGATCTCCGATCGCATTTATTTGGAAGCCTGCTTTATCCACAAACTTCTTGGGCTTGCTAGCATTCGGAAGCCAGACCAGTAGCTCTTTGGCTTCGTGCAGAAACATTTTGAAATGCTTCGGTAGGTTCAGCAAGTTGATGAACTTTGTGAGCTTGACCACTTGTTCGAGTCGAGCCTTACATGTAGCAGTCAGATATTTCTGGGTCTGGTGGAATATGACATTCATGCTGAGTCTTGGAGAATCATTGTCAAAATAATCAGCTCTGCCATTGTAAAGTGTTTTCTCGAGTAATGAGAAATGATCTTTTACTGAAAATGATTCAGAATGAGCATTCAGACGGTTGGCAGCTTGCATTTGGGGCCTAGAGTTGCACAATGTGATATAACATACAAATATTGCAAGATGCAATGAACTTACATTGTGTCTACTCTCGGAAAGTCCTTCCGAGGCCTGTACCTTGGTCTTTTCTCTCTGATGTTGAATCTCTGCAGACTGTTGTAGATGCATTTCCATGGTTTATTCCCAGGATTTCAAGCCTTTGAGCCTGACTTATTTGAACCAAATGGAATATCACTTTTATTGTTGTAGTCAGGGAAGGCTGAACTTGGAGCTGTAGTGATGCTTCTTTTAACTTTCTGAATGAGGCTAACTCTTTGAGCTTTATTGCTCAATCTAAATGCTTGACTATGATAGCCATCTAAGCTGCTGTGTCTGGATCCAACTTTGCTGAGATTTCTTCTTGAAGAAACCGAACTAAAGGTTATTCAGAAAGTACAGCTTAGAATAGTTTAAAGTTCCAGGGTCAATAGAGTGATTGATTCGCTTGTTAGCAACCTTCTGGTCTCTCAAGTGATGAATGAGTTTGAAGAAGTTTTCCTTTGTCTTGCGAATGTTTTCCACATTATGCTTCTTGACTTTTATTTTTGGCACACTTGTGCTGTTGTAGTAAGCTAAAGGTTAAGAAATCAGATATCAGAATGTTTACTTTTATGTGAGTAAAATTCACCTTTGTTTTCGCAAGGAGTTGGAATTTTATCTTTTGGCTCTAATCCTGATTTGACCAAAATATTTCAAATTTTCATATTGATGGTATATATTTTTATCAATAAATAAATGATATTTAGGGGTTTTGGGGTTTTGGGGTTTTGGGGTTTTGGGG